GTGTTGATTTCTCCTTCATGACCACCTGAATATTCCATTTACTCAATATTGGCCGTAATTTTTGAGTTAGTTCGCACGAGACAATGAGAGGATCCGGATTGGAGGCACGAGTCGGATAAGCCCATCGAAAGAGAGGGGTCGGGGTAAATAGCAAGTGTGATGAGGCCAGACTCGGTTTGCCACAAAAGGGCACACATTTTCATTATTGGAATGTAACAAGTGAGATAGGGTGTGATAGGACGGCAGTGGGATAAGAGGGTAAGAGTAGATAGATAGACAATGACAGAAAGAGATGATAGTCTAACCGTTTTCGGCAGAACGGTTGTCGAGGTATTGACTTCACTTGTCTCTTTGACGAGTTCGTAGCTTGGTGCGGAGAACGGCAAAGCTCAGTGATGATGCCGACTACGATGTCGGCGAAACGTGTGAGAATGTATCAAGTCCACTGTCAGATGCTGGGAATCAAGACAATTACTATGGCAGACAACTTCGGACTAGGTGCGTTCTAAATAGTTTCCCTGAACACAAGACCAAGTTGCGACAACGAGGTCAACCCACTTCTACAAAGACGTTTTAGTTTGCTCGAACTACAACTCTAGGGGCCTGATGATCACGTGACTAGAAAGACGGATAATGCCAATCGTCGCAGAAATTCGGCATTATGACGAAATTGACCAGATGCAGTAGGCGACCAAACATAGTTGTCCACACGAGGCATTCACTGTATTCCGTCTAAGGTGATTAAGGACTGGAAGTTGAATTATCCCATAATGATATGAATAGAGCTGACGCTTCCATTGAATTTCACATAGCCTTGCTTTCCCAAATGTTTTAATCCAGAGTGAACTTCCGTTTCGGCCTCGACTAGGTCTTATCAGTACCCCCAGCGGGAATCTAACCAGAACAGTGCAGCATCTCGAGACGTTAACATCAGTTCTACTCATATCATTTTGGGAAAATTTAACTGCCAATCCTTGATCACATCAAACGAAATAGGGTGTAAACATCTCATATAATTGACTTCATGGTAGTCTCGAAATCCTACTTATAAATAAATAATAGATATCCACAGTTTGTTCAGGGTACACGGGTTTAATTAGGATGTGTGAAGCCAATGCCTAATATCCGCAAGCATAGGCATCATAGTCTAGGCGCTCTGCTCGATGAGGCGACATTGTACGTGCTACTGGAGGCTTGAGAAATAGCGCCTGGAGTAAAAAGTACGCTGGGTCTTGAACCGCGTGAAATCGGTCAACCAGAAAAATAAGAAACGGATCCACAGGTTCATCAGACAGATCCAAATAGGAGGCTTAAGTAGGGTCACCCACTCGGAAGAGGAATCAAGGCAAGTAGCAGATGTCATAATACCACGGCAAATTCGCCAAAAGGACACACCTCTGGAAGAGTGAAATATAAACAAGTCAGAAGTTGCGATAGGGCGAGTGGGACAAGATGGTAGGAGGAAGATAAAGTACCAGGACATAAAGAGTGATAACACAACCATTTCGGAAGAAAGTTGATCAAGGGATCAGCTTCACTTGTTTCATTGACGAGATGTAGCCTGGTACTGAGAATGGCGATGTGGGCGAAACGTCTGAGAATGTATCAAGTCCACGGTCCTACGCTTGGCAATATAACTACTATGGCAGAAGATTTTGCACAAGGTGCGCACAACGCCCTGAAAACACAGTC